AGATCACGCATCATAAATTCAAGTTGGACATATAATTTATAAATAGACCCCTTATCCATACACAGTGGATGTTTTATTATTGAATTTTTTTTTTTTTAAAAGTACAATAGAGCGGATCTGGATCTGCATTCGGAATCATCACCACTGTAGCATAAGGGCCAGGTAACAGAGAAGAAGTAAATAATGGTAAATCACAAAGACAGGAAATAGGCCACTGTTTTTCTGTAGTTGCTGGAGACAGAAAATGGACAAGGAGGCAATCTGAAAAACTGGCAGTACTCACAACATTATGACTCATGACAGATCCAAATCAGGTGGTTACTTAGACATAAGTAACACCTCATAAGCCAAATATGCTTGTATTTTTGTTGTAAGAATTGCTTCTAATCTACTTTCACATAATTTCATTTTTTTTTTTGACTTTTAGTAATGGAAAATTGCATCAATCACGTGTATTTTTCTACTTATTACTGCAACGCAAATCTTGAATACCCTCAGCAACTCACTCATTACACATTTCAGTTAGACTTGGGTTTTTGCAGTTAGGAGGACTCAAAGTTAGGATGTAGAGAGAGAGAGAGAGAGGAGTAGATCGACATTAGGCAATAGTTATGAAAAGATAGATAATTGGAACACACAACGTTAGGCAATAGGTATGAAAAGGTGCATGGAACGCGGAATCGACACTCTTGATTCTTTGAACCATGAAATCTAGTCATAGCAATGAATTTTTAGATCTTTGAGCTCTCTTTGTTGCACCATGAATGCATGCATATGGCATAGACAATGACACCTGCTTGCTATCCTCTTATTTGTGCTCCTCCCTTACAAATGTAAGCACATGTTACTACTGTTGAAAATGTCCTGTTACAATGTTTATATATGAAAGCAAGGGTCATGTTTCTCTCTCATCATCCCCCTTACCCTACCCACGAGAAATCAAATGTTCCTTTCTATAAATTCCTTATCATCACATGATATCCCATGTGACCAAGAGCTTGTTATTTATTACTAGTGCTCGTCCCTGTCTATACAGTTCAAATCTATATAACTATAACAAGTGCTTATCCAATCCATTCCGACTTCAAATCAAGGAATTAAGCTTTCCATGAGATAGATATTACATCAATTAAATGGTGATGTTTGATGTCGAATCACAAAAATCAATAAGAGAATAAGTAAATAATTTACATTATGTTCAACTTATCTTCTAACTTCGTTCTTAACAGAAGTATTTTAAAGTAGGATACCAAAAAAAAAAAGGAATTTCAGTACCGTAGTCATTTCCTATGCATCAAGTAGATCAGTAAGCATAACAAAAAAAAAAATGGATATAAAAAAAGAAAGAAAAGAAAGAAAGAAATGGGCCATCAAGATGGAAAAGGAGGAATAGCCAAATCACCAAAAAGAAGCAAAACGGTAGGGTCATGGGGCCAATGGAGTCCATTCAGGATAATAGCAATAGAAGATGACTTTTCAGAAGAAATGGGAAGGCTTTGGAATTAGTTTCAAGCAACTCCGACCACCCACCGACAGTGAAAGTTAGTGAATGCAGCCTTTAACTCAGGAAACCAAACCTCATTACCCCTCAAAAATTTAGTGGTGTCCCTTGAGACCAAGTCTATTTTATTTTTTTGGCTAACGAAGACTTTGGACTGATGGCTACAACGCAAAGATTAGACGCGTGTAATCGCTTGTAAACAAGAGTGAAATAGAGATTTTATGCGGTTAGTGAGACTTCAACTCTATTCGTGCAAGTTTGCAAGCAACCCTTTATTCAGCCATTGGATCGACTCAGTCGGGGTTACCCCCACCCTTATATTTTATTGGTTTTCGGTGACGTTGATCATCCAAATCATGTATTCTTTAGAGTTGTAGCATAACAAAATTCAGATGCATGTAATCACACATACGCTCATCAGTGAACTCGAATCTGACTTGAATTCAGTATGCAAGAGTTTATGATTGATCCTTTTCTCGGCTGTTGAATCAATTCAGGTGGGTTAGCCTCGGCCTTGTATTAAACATGCTGGGAAAGGGTTAGACCAACTTTCAACAACTCTATTCTTGGTTGGAATGATGTGGATATATGCCTAGTGGGGAGGCACTGTGAAAACAAATGGGACTATGGGGGTGTGGGTGGAACGGACATAGATAGGGACAACTCCAACAGCACTGAGATGATAAGGTAACAGGGGAAACACAAGCAACACCACCATATTGTTAAGATATTTGCTGCATAAAATCCTGGTTGGTGGTTTGTGTCTTTTTTTCTCTCTTATTTATACACAACAAAAAGACCATGAAAGACAACCCAAAGAAGGGGAAGAGTTCACCCGCGGGCTTAGCCAGGGTGACTTTGGGTGGCTTGCAAAGGCCCACTCCCCTCCCCATGTTATGTTATGGGCTCAAATACTCCTTTGTGCCGAGGAATATCGTTGAAGTTATGACCATTTACGAGAGTTGTGTAAAATTAGTTTTTTAGTTTATTTATCAAGTCTACAGTACTTTTGGAGTCGTCAAAAGACAATTTAATGACATCATCAATTACCTAGAGTGTCGGACACATCATTAACAGTAGAGGGTGTACATGAAGTGGATATATAAACTAAATGAGCAACAGTCGAGTTTCAAATAATGTAAGGGGTCTGGATGAATTTGTTAAAGAACAGAAAGAGACTGCAATTTCTGTTGTAGGAGATTTTATTGCAGAGATATCCAAAATGGAAGGTTATTATAAAGTGTGATTGCTCTTCCATCCAAACAACCAAGTCACTAATTGATTCGATCAGCTTCTTTAACTAAGCAATTGGAACACATTACTGCCACAATTATAACCTACGTTGAGCAAATCATGCTTAATAGCTGAAACATACCACATCCACAGGAGCAGCCAATCAAATCAATGCCTGCCTTAATATAATGAGCCTATACCTAGTTGGAGAGGCTGCAACATCAATATATATACTACCATCACGGGTCAGGGATTCACTTTTCAAGATGAAGTTCGGGATTCAAGCCACATAGACCTATTTGGAAAGGCAAAGGGATTGCTCAAATGAGCGGCCCTTACCAGGTCGGGTTCTCTTCTCACCACTCTTTGTGGTTTTTTGTCCATTTTTCCTTAGAAATTGGCCAGATATTTATGTGTGTTTAAAAATGTATACATATAATTCTAACAGTCTCAAATAAACTCATCCAACGGCCACTAATATTCATTTCAAAATCATTCACATTACACCGTACCTTTAGACACGAGTTACTCTTAGTATATATATATTTAAAGACCACAAAACACGCCCAAGTTCTGTCCAAACCCATTGTACAGATTAATAAGCCAGGGGTGGTTTCCTAGAAATTAAGTGAATTTTTTTTTTTTTTGCCGGGGGTTGGGGGTGTGGGACTTATCCACAAGTCATACAATCAGATTCAGTAACAAAAAAACCAAAGAAACAAAAAGGATTCTGGCATACATCCTTCTGGCATACTGTGTTTGTCTACCAACCCCCAGATTTGTGGATCTGAAGAATTTAAATCTCTTGGTCTGCTGTCATCACATCAGCACAATCTACTATGAACCACATTCATGGCCCAACAGCTAATGGGCTACAGCAATCCTTGGGGACCTACTAAACACAGATTGGTAAACCCAAGCAAACCCTCACCTGCTTCCAGTGTACCAGTATAGTGTTTTTGATTGTGAGCCAGTCATTCCTTTCCACGGAGGAAAAACTCGAAACCTTGACACTCACAGAAGGATTCGTGTTCTGGTGTTCCATCTTTGCAACGTGGTAATCTTTAGTATTAGTCACAACCTTGAGGTTGAGACTCTAGTTCAACCAAATTGAACTACCTAATTTAAACCAACCTTACTGTCGTATTCAAATGTCACATTCGTGAATGTGCACTCAACATCCTATAGGGCAGGTTTTGCAGAATAACAAACTGGGCAAACAAATGCCTACTATTGCAGAGTCCACTCGGAAAGCCCTAGTGACCGGAAAATAGCCATAAAAATCATTATCCATTTTGATCTCCATACAAAAGGCATTGTACAAAAAAAAAACTGGCTGCTTAATGTTACACTAAGTAATACATACACATATGACTGCATACATCATGGTTGGTGACTCAAAATAACATCTAGATGAGCGATATGAACTGTTGGAGACAAGTTCAATTGAAGGCCCAGCAATATTTGAAACAACGCAGCTAAGAAGATCTACAGTCCTCCGTTGATATAAACTTAGCCTCATACTCAAACCTATTTAATATACAATTAAAAATCTGAGAAGCCAAAGCTAACAAGCAAAAGAACAATTGAATGGTTTCTGATGATACCCAAAATATACCTAAGATTGAACTCGGACCCTCCAAGCTCAAGGCCACACAGCCCATCATGAATGACTAGGAAATTTGAGGTCAGTACCTCCTTCCCAACAACTGTACCTCCATAGGAATAGCACATAAAACAACTGGCTCCTACCCAATCACCACACATAACGTAACAGTCTTATATTTGGGAAAAGAATTCGTAACCGTCACAAAGATATCCATGGCAACAGCATAAAAGACGCAACCGTTAGCAACAGTTACTAGGAGGAGGTAAATATCACGCTTAGGATCATGCAAGGCATCTGAACACTATAAATAGGAGGCATATCCCTCACAACCGGAGACAAGCAACTATCCTAAGCAAATACCCTGTGTAATCTTCCCCCTTTTATTAATAAAATCGTCCCAGGAACAAGAGACTCCCTTTAGAGTAGATTAGCTAAGCTCCCAAGCTAATAAACCACTATAAACACTTTGTGTGCCATTCCCTATCCCCCTCGTTCAAATCTTGATTCTAGAAGCTCTGATTGAGCCATTCAGTGACCACTAATCCTTATACAGCGTAAACTCTGCTCAATTGTGTCACATACTCCATCAGTTGCAAAACACCAATCTAAAAAAAAAATGGAGCAAAAAGCCAGAAATCTTCCATTAATTCAACTCCTCTAGTCAAAAGCATCATCATCGTCATCAGGGAGGGGCTGACTAGCTGCTGCAGCAAGCTCGGCTTCATGCCTGTAATACAACAGAAGGAGGTGAGAAGATAAATCGTGTCATAAATGGAAAAGTGGGGATGTAATGAAGAATCAGATTGCACGGAATGACTTTTAACAACGGTCCATATCATCATGTGTTTCAAATTCTCAACTTGTTCAGTCTAAGCAACTGGAAAATCACATTCAGCAGTGGCAGAGTTCTTACTGTTGCTGTGGAGCATTGTCAATGTGAACTTCTGGAGGAGCAAGTGCAGGCGACTCCACAAAATGAAGATTGGGGTCCCTAATATCAACAAAGCAACCACCAATTTTTAAGTAATCTTGTATAGGTTTTTGTAAACCCAGAAAAGAAGAACATCAGCGCCACATGTTACTACCCAGCAAGCTTCCTGGCAAGGTATAAGAAAGGCTTCTCGAAATTGTAGTTGCTTTTCGCAGAAATCTCATAGTACTGAAAATTTTTCTTCTTGTGGAATGTAACTTGATTTGCCTTAACCTGCCTGTTCTTCACAGTTCTTCACATCAACCTTGTTTCCGCAAAGAACAATCGGTATGTTTTCACAGACCCTGTAAGACAGAAAAACAAATATGCCATACTCAAAACCCCTGTTTGGCCAATTCAATATGATCAACAAGATGCCCATGGATATTCCAATAAACATGAATTCTCAAAACCAAATAAGCCAACCTGCAGAGATCTTGATGCCAGGTTGGAACATTCTCGTATGTCAAGCGGGCTGTGACATCAAACATTATGATTGCACATTGCCCATGAATGCTGCATATACAAATGAGAAGTTAGCACAAAGAGAAATGATTGATAGGCAACAACTTGTTTTAAGATGAGGAATATTCAACTTCATGCAAACTCAATGGAACATGAGAATAATATTTGCAACAACATTGACAAAATTGCATTGCATTCCCATCAAAACAACTTAAAAAGGTTTGGCACATAAAAATTAAAAAGAGAAAGAAAATAAGAGCTGATAATGATATTGAAAGTCCCAAAGAGATTATCGATAAACAAACATGAAGTATTAACAAATTAGGAAAACAAGAAACTAATTCAAAGATAATGATAAATCATATTCCATTATTGCTGTAAAGGAGATGGAAAGCACCATTGCAATAAATAAACAAAGGACAGATTTCGTAATCCTATGACACTTTTGTTCAAAACATTATGATCAGGTTGCCATACAGGACAGACCCAGTAAAAAACTCCAACAACATAAAGAATAATATTCGGGAGAATTCCTAGTATGAAGTAATGATCCCCAAAAATGATCATCACCATTCAAAGGTTGGAAAAAATATACGTAATTGACACTCAGGATGATAATAGTGCCTTCATTTTGCAAAGACTGAAGCTCAAATTACAACTACGGTAAGTTACAATTTAATTATAGAGCACATTAAACTGAAAGTCAGATGGAGCACATTAAACTGAAAGTCAGATGAACTTGGAGGAGTTTCCAACAAAGAGAAACAAAGAAAACAAGCAACCATGAGCAAACCAATTTAATTAGATGCTAAATGCCATGTAAAACACATGCTACATAAATAGGAAAAATTAAGTACATGATTCAGAATAATCATCGACTTCTAGTAACTTAGTTGCGGAATATGATTTCATACATGATCTTGAAGACTTAGAATCAAATCGAATACTAATTACATAATAACTTCAATGTGATAGCATACATGATAATTGAAAGTTACCAAATGCACTATGAAGCATGGATACTTCGATTGGTGTGATGTATCTATATCTGATACTTTCTGAACGTATGAATAAAATATTTATGATTACTGGATTCTTAACTGATACACCATGGATACGCATATCTCCAAGGTGGTTTCATGCTCCTTATACTTAGTAAGATGGTTTGTCCAGATTTGAATTAATCTTTATGCTTAGAGGTCTATTCATATAAATTTGTGCTTATTAGAGATTTAGCGACATATCAGCTAGTTGAGACTTCTTTACAAGTACAACTTTCTTCGGCTAAATAATCAGTTTTTATTGCTTATGTCCAAATCAATAGAATCTATTGCAATTGATTCTACGTCAAAGTTAAGGACTCACCATGGATGATACATGTCCAGCTTTTTTAGGATTACATAATTTATTAGATCCAACTCACCAATATGCAATCCCTATCTCAACAAAATATATTGTTTTAGTTTGAGAAATGTTTTACTTATAATCCCTCAAATACTCAATATTATGATGATATCTTATAATAATATATAATGAGGTAAATGTATCCAAGCCGTATCCTACTTTTAAGATTTTACCATATCATGCGTATCCATATTCATGTTTCGTAGCAAATGCATAATCCATAAACTAAAATGCTTAAGACATTGCAATTACATCTATATGAGTAACACAGAAATGCACAAAACAAAACCGTCAATATATAACCACATGTCAATGTGCAATCACTTACTAGTAACCAGCTCGAAGGCCCGAAAATTTCTCTTGCCCAGTATCCCAACAATTGAAACGGATTTTGCCACAATTTGTGAAGAAGTCCAAAGGGTGAAGTTCCACCCCAACAGTTGCTGTTTTCGATTCAAGATTATTAGCTTAATACACACACAGAAACAATAAGAAACTAAACAGAACAAAAAAATGCAAGAAATAAATAGGACAGTTATCATCAAGTCAAATGAATTCACTTCTTTTTTTTCTTTATCCATATGGAATCATATGGAAGTTGCTAAATATACAAAACCAACAAAAGGTTGAAAATTCTCTCAAGAGACTTACGCTCATATTTCTTCTCAAATTCCCCCGTAAGATGCCTCTTCAGAAAAGTAGTTTTGCCTGCATCAATTAAAATCAATCAAGCACCATCCAACTTACCTCTAAAGTTATCAAACCACGCAATGCTCCACTATTTTATACAAAAAACAAACGTCTCTCATTATTATTCTCAAAGGAACAACAAAATCTTCCCAAAAATCATTCCAATTATTGCCAGAGAACAACATGACATAAAGGGAGGAAAAATCGCCTATAAAAGACGTCCTGCAATATTTTCCTTTCCTTTCAAATATCCTAAGAACGAAACTTTATTCCAAAAGGGAACAACTTCAGGACAAAAACCGGAATCCTTCAACGAATCACTTGCAAAGCACATACTAATAGAATGAACTAATAGGAAAACACACACACACACACACAACAGTTCCTCCATCACCAACAATCACGAGCTTAAAGATCGGATTATTGACAGTCTGTTGATTTGGTAGAGTCTGCAAGTGTTTCCTGCGCACCATAGAAATTGGACGAGAGAGAAACAGACGCGAGGCAAAGTATATACAGTGTGAGAGAGAGAGAGAGAGAGAGAGAGAGAGAGGCAGAGAGAGGTCTATTTTGAAAATATACCCGACTCTGTTGACCATGGTCCATCAAGAACAGGGAATCACACTTTGTACCGTAAAAAATTTAAAATTACAAAATATATCAATTTATATGATAAATTACAATACAATTCAAATATAAAAAAATAAACAAAATAATTTTTACTTTTTTCAGTTGATATCTTTTTAAATTTTACTTTAAAATTAATCCGACGACTAATATTAACATCCCAAATTTAATAGATAAAATATGCCCTTAAATGTATGTTTGAGATGACTTTTTAAAAGTGTTTTTACGACTTAGAACTTCTCAAGATACTTTAAAAAAAAGGTATTTTTGGAATCGTCCCACCACCCTCACTGCCCCCACCACCACCACCACAACTACCTCTACAATCACCACTATCACTACCTCACTGCCACTGTCATCGCCACTTCACCATCATCTATGTCATAACAATCACCACCATCATCACTATATTACTACTACCACCACCCCCCACTGCCCCATCACCAGCACCACCGTTGTAGCTACCTTACTACCACCATCACCACCCCCACCACCACCTTTGCCACACCCACACCCATCGACACTATTGCCCTCATCACCCTCATCTCCACTACCACCACCCCCCACTGTCACCACCACCATCGTTGCCACCCCCCCCACTACCATCACCATCACCATCGTTGTTGCCACCCTACTACCACCGTCACTATCCCACCACCACCACCACCACCTCCATTAGGGGAGTCTATGGCCTGGGCCTACGCCTGCAAAAAATTTTTTTGAGTCGGGCCAGGTAGTGTAGGTTCTAACCCTTACCCAAAATAAGTTATCAAGTAGGGTAGGTTGGACTTTGAGTAGGGGTAGGCTACCCACAGCCCAACCTGTGAGCCTATTGGATGGGCTTGTGGGGCGGACTTGCTAAACGGGATTACTCGCAAGTTTTTTTTATATACAACTTGATTTAAAAATAATGAATATTTTTGTAACTTAATATTTGTATAAATTATATTTTGAATCAAAAGTAAAGTTAAAATAAATAAAAATAAAATAATGAATAATTTTATTTTTAATTAGGGGATAAACTAAATCCAATAGAATGAATACATCCTAACTGAACTTGTATGATTAATACATTATTTATAGTATCTAAATTTTTAAAACTTCAAATTTCGACATTGGAGAGACTTATTTCAAAGTTTCAAATTTAATGGTTTAAAACTATAACTTTTTTTTAAAGGAAGGGTGGATAGGTGGGCTCTTGGGCCAAGTTTTAACGGGGGGGGGGGGGGGGGGGGGCAATGGGTTTGGGGGCAAACACAAGGTCTCTTTTTAAAGATATTGAGCTCGAACTCGAGCCGGTCAACTATTGGCTCTATCGGGTTTCAAACCTATTTTTTTTCGGGCCAGGTAATGGGACTCATGGACACCCCGCTGCCGCCACCCCTATCACTGCCGTCACCCCACCGCCGCTACCCCCATCATCACCACCTCACCACCATCGCCACCCACACCTAATTGCTACAACTATAGTCCACCGTCATTACCCACCACCACCACCATCGTCATCTCATTTTTATATTTATTACTAGTACCACCATTATCCCACTACCACTATTGCCCACCGTTAGCATCTACCACCGCCATTGTTGCCCACCACCAACCATCATTGCTCATCATCGCTGTCAGCCATTGTCACCCACCTCCACCACACTTGCCATTACTAACCATCATCACCCACTGTCATCCACCCCCACCACACCTACCACCACTGCCCATTCGTCACCAGGCATTACACTATTGACTAAAAGCACCCGTCGTCGCCCACCATCACTATCGTCATCGCTCACTACCACAATTCATCACCCCCGTCGTTACCCTACCACCACCACTGCCAACCACCATTACTATCGCCCACCATCACCTACACCCACTACCACCCCCGCTGTTACCCAAAGCCCACCTCCACCATCATCGTTGTCACCTACGACTGCCACTATCACCACAGTCGTCGCCACCCACCACAACCATCACCGTCTCTCACCACCACCACCACCACTATCACTCATCACTATTACCGCTATTCACCTCATTACAAATCAATGTTTAAATTTATTTTTCTCTCCTCTATATTTGAGATTTGATTTTGGGTGTGAATACAAATATATTTACTGTTAATCATTTTTTTATTACTCCATACCTTCAGGTACGGGTAATACCTAATTTTCTTATATTATACCCTCAATATGTTAAAAGTATTACAATGTAATCCTTTCATTTGCTTTTTTTGACAAAAATCACTCCTATTAGTGTGAACGAAATGTGCAACAAAAACTAATAGAGGGATCACATTACAACACGTTTAATTCATTGAGAGTATAATGTAAAAATTTAATCTTTAAAAGATAAAATAAGAATTATTAAATTTTTTGGGGTGAAATTTTCATTCTAGATTTTAACTCATTTTTCTTGTTTTAATTTCTTTTTTCCTTTAAAAAGTTAAAGAATAATATAAACTGTCGGATCTAAATGATTTGAATTGTTGTTGTGCTTTTCTAACTGAAAAATTTAAATAGGAGGCTCTGTTTTATTATTATATAAATTTCACATTTGAAGGATAAAATAAGAATTATTAAATCTTTTCATTTTCTTCTTTTCTTCTTTTCATTTCATTTTAGTTTAAAAAGTTAAATTGTAATATAAAATGTCGGATTTAAACGATCTAAACCGTGGTTGTGTTTTTCTAATTGAAGAGCTTAAGTAGGAAGCTCTGTTTTATTATTATAGATTGATTAATTACACATTATACCTTAAAGCACCCCGTCTTCCTTTTTGTTTTAATTCCAATTTCTTTTTTTTGGAGATCAATCATTATATTTAAGGTTGATCTAACTATATTTAAAGTGGATCCTAATATCTTAAAATCAATGCTAATTTTTTTGACATAACTTAATCTCATTGAGCAAGAACTTGACCCCAATGAATTATGACTAACTCGTAATTATAACATTGGGTATCGTACCTCCTTCGATATTTTAATCCCACGCCCTAAAGTATAGATTGCATTTCAATTACTCGTGATTTTTCAATTGTAACAGATTGCACCCTCAAAGTTATTTTAAAATGCAGGAAGAAGAAAAAGAGATTTATAAACGGAAACTACCACCAGAAAAGGAGGGAGCTATATTTTGCAATATCCCCCATACAAGGCAATGTATCCCCCGGTCTTTTCCATCAATTTGTTAAGATCTTCATACGATCTCTATGTGATATTTTAAGTGTATACTTGGGATAACTTGTGTTTAAAGATACGGTACAGCGTAAATGAGAAGTGATAGATTTAGGGTGAGAGAAATTATATGTGAATAGTTTCGAGAGGGATGTTGACGACCATTGGATGAGTCTATTTGAAACTATCGAATAAGCTTATTAAAATCTGTCATGTTTTATATTATAGATATAAATATGAATTCTTACACATCATTCTATTGCAATTCGGTTCAAAGGTAAGTTCTATTCGAAGGCTCACATACTTTGATAGTAGACTCCAACATCATGTCAAGATACGTTTGGATGTAAGAGCGTCATGTATACTATCAATACTTGTAAAATTTGTCTAAATTAGTTATGTCAATGAACGTCAGCTATGAAAACTTGGTGGTATGTTAATATTTTAAGTGTGCCATTAATATTTACAAATGTAAAGTAGTTGACAATTAGGCAACTACTAATAATAGTTTTTTCAATAATATTCATTGTCCAACAGTACCAATAATGGGCCACACAAGAGGAGAGTTAGCCATCTCCCTAGATACTTTGTAAACACCATATCCTTGTTCAAGGTGGGTTTATTATAATTGGAATCAGGTGCATTAGCTACATATTTAGCTGTATAGTAGTTTACCCCAAGAAAATCATATGATCCTTTTAGGAGTTTGGGTTCTTGATTTGAGAACGTTCGAAGACGAGATTTTACATCGATTCACATTCTTTCCGAACAGTCACCCGTTGTTATGGGGTCCATGAACCTATAAATTTTGCACAAATTAATATTTTGACTTAATGAGAGGCTAAAATAAAAAAAAAAAACTATTGCCTATAAGTTAACAATAGTAAAAAACGTACTTTAATGAAGAAAAGTATAAGATTTGTATGGTCAAACTCAAGTAGGTAGGATGAACCTACTCTTCTTATGCAAATCTATCTAAATTATGCATAAAACAATCAAATTATGAGCAAGAGATAGATTGAATAGACTTCCCCCAATGAATAGTTAAGTATTAAATTTAAAAAATATCAAATTTGAAAAAAGAGTTGTTTACTTGAACAAGTTCTCACCAATTGTCCATGTAACCACTCTCCAGTACTCCTTCACAGTGCTCATTTAACCTCTTCTCCCATATTCCTCCCCTCTCCTCTCTCACACTAATAGGCAAATTAAATAAGTTAGCGGGTGGATGATGAAAAGGGTTAATATCAGAATGAAGAAGCTAGAGCTGGATGTAGTGTGAATCCCATTCATAACACAGTTCCGTTGCTAAAATAACAATTATTATTGTCCATTTTTATCACCGCCTAGGAATTTTAATAAGGGTAAATTTAACTGACACCCCCTGAATTTTGGTCATATTTTACTGACATCCCCTCTAGTTTTTGAAATAACACTGCATATTCCCTTGTTGAACATTTTTAACCCCGGCTCAAATTTAGACTTAAATTTACATTTGAGTAAAAAAACTCATAAAATTTGCTCTAACTTTTGAATCAAACTTATACCAAATTAAGGGAGACTCATTTTTTTACTTAAATCAAGGGAGACTCAAATCTATACCCAAATTTTTAATGGTGAGGCTTCAGTCTCTTTTGAAGATCCAATGATCATCTT